TTCCTAAAACCATTGCATGAAATGGCATGAAAAACTGCCAGTAAAAATTGTGGTGTAATTTTAGGATTTTTTTTTGGTCTAACGTGTTTTGGATGTTAGATTTTTTTAAATCAAGGAAATGCCCTTGAAGTGACTTTTCACTCTTACTCAAATTCATGTCTGTGGTGGTTTAATTTTTTTTTTTTTTTTTTTTTTTTTTTTTTTTTTTTTGGTGCTGGGGCGGATTTTGTATTTTTTTTAATTTGTGTCTTCCTACACTGAAAGTCTATCTTAGACTCTCTTGTGGGGGTTTTGTTTTTCTGCTGTTTTTACCTGGTAGTCACCATTTTCACTGTAGAGAACTGGGTACCTGCTATTCTCTCCCCTAACCGTTACTCCACTCTTCCCAAAAGCCTCGCAGCTTTTTCCAGCTTGCTGGTAAGATAGCTGTACAGCACCACACAGCGCTTCTCCTGGCCCCTCTGCCAGGTGAGCGTATGTGCTCTTACAGCTTCATTCTTGAGGAACTGGGGAGGAGCAGAGTAGGAAACTTGAAGTGGAGTTTTCCTGCACAATGCTTCTGGAGTATCAGTTAATTTAACACAAATCTAAAGTGTAAATCTGTGGTATTAGTGTAGTGAGGCTACTACAGGACAGCCTGAAGTTGGCAGTGCCTGATTAGCTGTGTTGATTTATAGAGATTCCCCTCCCCCACCTCCCCTTGTTTTTCCCCTGCTCTTCACCAGCTGTGCATGCATTTAGTGAGAGAAACAGTGGCTGTGTGAGTATCTGGCTCATAAATTTGAGTTGCAGTCGTTCAGGATTAAAAAGATTGTCAAAGCTTGAAGTTGTTTTTCTTTTTTTTTTTTTTTAAATATCTCTATATATGTGGGCTTTAATAAAATATTTAGATATCCTCAAATTAGGTTGGCCAGATGTACTGCAGTCTCTGTTTCTTGTGAAGTGTTTGTCCTGGGATTGCACACTGTAGCAAATGGGTAGAGCGGTAACTGCAGCACAGAAAAAGAAGAGAAAAGAACAACCATTTGCTGTATCATTGCTGTGCTGCACTTGGCCTTGAGGCTACTTCTGAGGAAGCAAACAGTTAAATTTTAACCATACACCCTATTGATCAACTGGTTTGTTTGTTTTGGGGTTGGGTTTTTTTTTTTTTCGGATGAAAACAGAGAATTTTTATCAATCTTTTAGTAACTGGTTTTTTTTTTTTGGGGTTTGGTTTTTTTTTTTTTTTTTTTTTTTATATGGTTTGAAGCAGACAGATAGTGGAGGCAGCTAATCATTAATGGTTCCTTCAACCTCCAAGCTTAACTTTGCTTCTGGGATTAGCTGGCATGGTCCCTAGCACCCAGTTATAGTGGCAAAGGGGTTGGTTTGATGGTTTAGTTTAAAATTGCTTCCCAAAGGAAAAATATTGTGCTTTTGGAAGGGCTGTCTTTTCCCTTTTCTCCAAATCAGTACAATGATGGACTTTCTCCTGCTGGATTATATTGTCTAGGAGTGAGAATTCCATCCCTATTCCCCAAATTTTAAATTATGCTACTTATGTTTCAGCATAGGCCAAGCATACTTGAAGCTGGTCTGACTGTTTGCTAGTGCTTGTTAACCTGTGTTAGCCTAAGCCAGTTTGCCATACTTTGCTACTGTCAGTCTTTGATGTTTAAAAGTAGGTTTTGTGTATGAAATCACAAACTATTGCTTAGCTGTCTTGTTACCATATCAGAGCAGACACTTACACGTAGCTGCAGGAGCCGAGTGTGGCCAGCACTTTGAGAATGGTCTAGTTTGGCTGTTACCTGGTATATGTGGTTTGTCTCTCTTGGGAATTAACTGTTGTCTAGCTGGATAGTTATGCTACCCTGCTAAAAATTGCTTGTGTTTTGGGTTTTTCCTCTTTTGGAAGTGGAAGACATTGCCTATGACTAAACAGTAAACTTCCACATCATCATCAAGCAAATAGGTATAAATAACAATACAAAAATGAACAACTGTTATGTGCTTTCTTTGTCATAATGATCACATAGCAATTAATAACATGCAGTCTTTGTAGATCTAGAAAAAGTCATTATTTCTTGAAGCAAGATGCTGTTTAGTAGCTGATGGGCAGCATATTGCTCTGGGCAAAGCATATGCTGGGAGCCTTTGCTTTGCTGCTTTGCATAGGGGCAAAATACCGCCTTGCTTTTCCAGTGTACCAGATGAAGTAAGAGTCGCAGTCTCATTTGCTTTGAACAGTGAAATAGTCTCTTGTACAGGCATGCCTGCATGCTGTTCAGGATTTACATACGTGTCATAAGTTGCTGGCCCTGCACTGTTATACAGATAGTCTTCTCTCTGCTTGGTTTACATTACTGAAATCTGTGGAAAGACTTGACAATTCACTGCTCTATATTTAATTTTGGATAAGCTGTCTGATATAATTAACGTATGTTCTTATCCTGTTATAAGTTTTTTTTTTCCTATTAACACGAATTTGTTGCAAGATTACTTAAGTCATTTTCCAAAGCATGTATGGTACAGCATCTGTTCCTGGAATTTCTTTTCCTCTGCTCTAGTAACTTACAGAATTTTCATTGTTCATTGCAGGGAGGAAAAGTCAGTCTTTGTGGACTACCTGCTAGGAAAAGAATAATCTTTTTTGTTGTGTGAAGGGCTTTGTTTTGTTTTGTTTCTTTTTTTCTTTTGACATTAATGTTAAGAGAACTGTTAGTATAAAGATGCATTTTTGTCCATCCACTGAACAAAAAATGAATTTATTAGTAAAAACAGATTCTGTTTGTGAGAATGAAGTAGAAGCATGGATTTATTTCAAGGGACATAGTAATATTTTTAAAACCCTCTTTTAAAACATTGTAGTATGTGCCTTAAACTAACATTCTCCTCAGCCTGCCATATTGCTATGTTGTTTAGGTGACTCTAAATAAAGGTTTTTTCACCTGTGAGGTGCTCATGTATTACGAAATACAAAGAGTTGTGTATTATTAGAGAGTTCTATAAGATAGTTTTGAGGCCTTGTAGTATCATTGAACAAAAAGGTTCAGGTTGTATGGAGGGATTGGAAAAGAGGTGATCTAAGAACATGTAGCACAGCACTCAGATAATGTTTCTTGATCTCACTGAAAGCAAGCTAAAAGGCAGAACTAATGTGTATTTTAGTCTCTAAAAGGAAAAGAACAAATAATAGCTGGAGCTGAAGAAATATGGGTAGCCTTGTTTTTAAGTCTTCACTCTGTTGTCTGTGAAATTGGCTGCCAGAACAAACATGGGTGCAGTGGCTGATATCTGATACTGATGTAGTGGTAAATGCTTGATGTATAGGATTATCTCATTTGGAAAGGTGCTTAATAAAGCACCTGACTTTGGGATTTTTCAGAGCATGAGTATTTAGAATAATAAAGCTTGCTCCAAAGCTTTATTGGGACATTTAATTAACTTATTCCAAATAAGCTAATGCAGACATACATATTTAATGTCTTGCATTGCTCTGGAAAATCACAACTCTTATTATCTATTAGGATTCTGTGTGCTTCCTAAGTAAAAGAACTTTTCGTGACGTTAAAAGTTGTTTGTTATTTAGCTTTAAGCTGTGAAGACAAGCTTGCTTGATACCACTGTTTTTAGGTGCTTCTCCAATTGTGTTCCCACTTATCTGCAATGCCACGTATCAAAGCTGTTGAGGAGGATTTTATTTCTTCCTGTACTTACTCAGGAGAATTTAAGATTATTTGAGCGTGTGCACCAGTTAATGAAAAAAACAGTTCAACTGGAGGCATTTATAGTGAACTCTGAACACTGAATGCTGGCTTTCCTGGAAATGGTCATTTCCTGGATGCTTACCTTGCTTTTTTCATCTTGCCTCATACAGAAGTAGAGTGAAATATAAACTATTTTTGTGCTTCATCTTTGACCCTGCTTCAGTAAACAAAACCTTGCACATCACAATATCCATTTTCAATTAGGCCATTTCTAGAGACGTACCTAAATGAGTACTGATGGACAAGGATTTTTCTTTCTTTCTGAACCTTGACTCTGTTTCTATGACAGTCTCTCCAGGAGGAATTGATGCGTACAGACTTGAGAATTATTTTCCTCAGTGGAAAAAGTGGTGGCTTGATAGGTTTTGTTCAAAGTCACTTAGAGTGGTGGTTTTTGTCAGATACCATCTCCTGCAATGAGATCCTGAGGTTCTAGTAGGTACTTAAACCAGTAGATTCAGTCCCTGAATCTTGAAATAGACTTCCTAGAGGTGGGACTTCCTATGGCATCTGATGCTTGATTTGTACTTGTTTTTCTTCAGCTAGGGTTTAAGCGGTGGTTATATTGCATGTAGAAGCATGTGTCTGTTATGTGTAGCTTAGGTTGACCCTTCATAAAATGCTGGACTGACCTTTCTTTGTCTCTTAGTATTTCCTAATAAAATGATGGAGCTCAGCATATTTTATATTCCTGTACTTGCATCTTTGAGGCTCTGGTTTTTTTTCTTTTAGTAAAGCTGCTATAAACAGTATGACTGAAGCTAGCCTCAGTGCTGAAATTAGTCCTTCCCTATGCAGACTCTTACTCTGATATGCACTGATGGCTTTGCTGAAAGAAATTACTGCACAGACTTCCCAAGCTTAGTCCCCCTCTGGGGCTGTGGGCAGATTGCCTCGCTTGTCTGTCCTGATTTCCCAGCTGTGGAGTTGGAGTAATTTATTACTAGCATCAGTCATAAGAACATTGAGGGTTAATCTGCAAGTACTGTATCTGTGTAGTGTCTTTAGTGTGTCAAAGCAGTAATGTGTAATTGTGATTTTATTATTAATATTGGTTATTTCATTAAAGTGTAATTTTCAAACAATGTTCATGTAGATTAAACTTACTTCATCAATAAACTGGCATCCTTCCAGCAGCATTAACTCGGTTCAGACTCTGTCTTATAGTGAAGCCTAAACGTGTAGATAGCTCTGTAAAGAAAACAGCAAATGCCTAAAGAAACCCATACTTTCTTGTTTTTAATCTAGACTGTGGACATCCATAAAGAAAAGGTCGCTCGCAGAGAGATAGGCATTTTGACGACCAATAAGAACACATCGAGAACTCACAAAATTATAGCGCCAGCGAACATGGAACGTCCTGTAAGGTATATTCGAAAACCTATAGACTACACGGTGCTGGATGATGTTGGCCATGGCGTAAAGGTAAGAATACCTGAGGACTCCAAGTAACACAGACCAGGAGATAGGGTCAGAGCAGAACGTTACTGACATTAAAATGTTTAGTTCATTTATGGTAGGAAGGATTACAGGTTTGATATGCTCCCATGTACAAACATTCCAATAACAAAATGGATTGTTTTACAGTGAGGGTTTTTTGAGCAGTGTGTGCCGTAACCTTGTGACTGTCAGTGGTAGTCACAGTGTCTGGAAATAATGGCTCATGATCTTAGGCTAATGACTTGTTGAAAGAGCCATGACTGACTTTTAAAGTTATCACTCCTTCCTCCTCTGATTAAATTGTCTCTGCCACTCTCATTATTTCTTTCATTATTGAGAAAAATTAAGTCATCTGTTATGGGGGAAACTGGCTGATGGGGTGGGGTTTTTTGGAGGGTGATGAGGAGGAAGGGGGGCAGCTAGTTGGCATTTAAATCTCAGTGGCATTTGATGTCTCCTGTTTGTGCTTTCGGACAGCTTCATTTTCCTTTTCTCTAAATAAAAGCCTTCATAAATTAATGTCTGCCTCCCTTGAAATGGTCATAGTTGAAGTAAATTAATATAACACCCTTTGGTCTCTGGGCATCTTTTTATTAAAAAATAGCTTTGTATCCCCCTAGAGCAGGCCTTCCAGGTATATTCAGTTCACAACAATCTTCTCTTGAATGGCATTAAAAAGCTTCTATTCCACACCCTTGTATCCTCTAAAACTTGATGTACTCTGGTCAGTCAGTTGTGCAGCTAGATCAGCCCATTGTGTGCCCTTTGAATTGCTGAGCTCTTGAGGAACAGGTCTTTCAGAATTACGCAACACAAGAGTGCCAGGGTACCTCCTGCTTCGTAGTAACCCTCCAAATGCCCAGAGGAGTCTAATTCCAACACAAGTCAGAAAGTAGCTCTATACTGTGACAGCTCTAGGCTATGAATTAATGTAGTGACTTTGAACTACCTGATTTTTTTGTTTTGTTTGTAGCTAAACCTGTAACTCTTAGGGTTGTTTTACACTAATAATTTTAAGCCAGACTGGATGAAGCACAATCCTATGTAGAAGCCTGAAAGACATGCCCTGAATTGCTGTAAAAAAGAAACACTGGCATCAGAGAAATTGATAATTTCTCAGTACAGTCTCTGCATTCAAGGAGGGAGCTCTATGAATAGAGAATACAGAAATCCACAAATTCAGTGTCAGGATATTGTTTTCTGCATTGAAGTGCTTCAGGGATCAAGTGCTGCAGAAGACTTTTTAATAAAAAGTAGAATAATTGCTATTAGTGTCTGAAGTTGATGCTTTGCTGAACCACTTGTATTGTGCAGGCTCAAAACAGGTTGTTCGATCCATAAACACTGAAGTTGTTAGGGTATAGCAGTTGCATTTTCCAGTATGACTGTTTGCTTTTAGGGGTACTGCTGTCTTTATTTTTATTAACCCCCTGTTGTTTAGGGGGTGGAAATGAGGCGCTGTTTACCTATTTCTAGGCAGCTCTTAGGGAATGTCTTTAGTAAAGGGTTTTTTAACTGTTAGTGGTTTAGTTCTATATTAAAAGCTTAGTCTGTTCAGAGGTAAAATAGCTTCCAGTAATAACCAAATTAGCAACTCATTACAAGTCAGCTACAAATTATATCTTCCTATTGTTTCTTTATTGAGTGATTTGCCTAAGTCTGTTTTATGACTATGGAAGGCATGAAACACTTAGTAGAAAAAATGATGTTGGTATTTTCTATGTAGACTTGTTACACAAATGAAATAAGCTGCCAGCCAGGTGTTAGGTATGTAGTTCAAGATGGCTGTCATGCATTTGACACCTTTACCAGTGTTGACATTCACTGGACACACTGTTGAGAAGAGTGGGCTGAGATAGTGAATGACATAATTGCATGTTTTTAGCCATCATATTACTGTGATTCTGAGAGACTGACACATATCATAGCTCTGAAGGAAGTGGCTTGCTTTGTCTGCAAACCTAGATGTAGCTAGTGCTGTTATAAGAAAATCAAACCAAACAACTTAAGAAAACTGGATCAGGTCCTGTTGGCAGTCAGCGCAAATAACGGATGATGCTGAGAATCTTGAGTTGCCTCTTGAACATACAAATTAGGGGGAAGCATACAATAAATTGAATTACAAACTTTGTCTTGTCCAAAATGTCTTAGAAGATGTTTTAGACTCTGTTAAGTCTTATTTTCTTGACCAAAGATTTCACCCAAAGTTGGACAGCAGCATGCCCAATAAGGCCTTAGAAACCATGTTTTTCTAGAGGAAAAGAAGTTTGAGTTCTGCCTAGAGCAATTGTCAATTTGACTGACTTGCAGGTCCTTGAATGTATTCTGCTGCGGCGACTGTCAATAAAATACAGTACAACACATACATTGGCATTTAAGTATTAAATAAAAATTACGCAACGCTTTGAAATCTGTAGATGACAATTTATTGCTGTTAATGGGACTCTTGTGTTCTGGTCCAGGATTTGATAAAGGAAAAATACAAGAAAGAGAACGCAAAGATACAGGCTGGATTATTGCCTGTTTCTGCTTTCATTTCATGAAATACTGATCCTAGGAAAAATGTCATTAAAATACCCAGTATATTTTAAGGGGTGATCCTGAATTGTTTTATATAAAAAGTGTAAATAAAAATACTGTCTCTCAGAATTTAAAAAAAAAAAAGGAAGATGAGTAATCCTCAGAGTAAATGCTGTCTTCCCCCATACATCTTCCATCTGAGCAAATACAGAAACACGTCCTATGCATACTCACAGCTCATTTTCTTTGTGTGTCTGTCTGATGCTTCTCATGGCTGTGTAGAGGGGCTGCAATAGCAGATGCCTGTGCTGGAGGCATGGAGAAGGGCTCTACATGCCCCCCACCCCGTTTAACATATATGCAACAATTTTTGTGGGGGCAGACGATGAGGGTGGGTATGGCAGTGATGGTAAGCAGCTACTCTCTATAGCAGGTTTCCTCCCTGATGGGAGGCACCTCCTTGGAAGGCAGTGCTGTTTCCTCCTCCAGCAGCTTCTTGGTAGAAAAGCTTTTGTAGAGCATCCTAGGATTGCAGAGGTGCTTTTCTCCTTTGGCCTGAAAGCTCCATGGCAGCCCCAAACTGCCCCAGCTGCTCTACTCCCTTTGCAGGGGCAGGAACAGACAAAGTCTCCAAAAGGAGTGAAGTTGCTTTTTTATATACATACCTATGAAGCCAAGGCTAGTATCAAGTCAAAATCAGGAGGGCTTTTAAAGTTGGTTTGTTACTGACAAGGCTTTCCCTTGCAATGCTAGTATTATGTGTAGATGGCTCCAGTAAACACAAAGGCAAGTGTTTTTGCCAGTCTGTTAAGTAGTTGGTCAGCTGTCGCCCTCTGGGGATAAGGGAATGTAGCTAAGTCATTCTTGGTAAATAAGAATAACTGTTGTGATGTGAGAGCCTGCCTTCCTGTGTAGAGCTTGGTTTAAAATTATGAGGCAGAGGCTACTTTAACATTTCCTTCCTTCTCTTCCCCTTCTTTTGTGAAAGGGGGAAAAAAAAAAGTGTGCCAGCAAATAAATAGGTCAAATACAATTACTCATACAGAAAATCCTCAGTTTAAGAGGGGGGAGAAGGAGGAGGAAGCTTGGAAGCTGCCTTAAAAGCCCTGAAGTTGGCCTTTGAATTTATTATAATCATTTTTTCGAATAGGAGGCAGGTGGAATTGCAGCAATTTGTAAAATGGCAGCTAAGTAGGAAATTGAAATGATGCCTTATGGTAAAGGCAGATAAAATGTTGAATACATGCTAAATTGAAATGCCTAATAGCTGTAATTGCATCGAGTTTGTTTTGTGGAATTAATAGTTCTTCAAAACCAACCTTGATCTGTATATGAAGATTGATCACTTTTCAGCTTTGTTTTAAGAAAAAGTTAGAATTTTGTCACCATAAACCACTTACATTTCAGTGCATTAAAACGGTAAGAAGCTTTCTAGCCCAGAAAGTCAAACGGGAGTTAAGCATTCAGAAATTTTTCTCAAGCAAATGGAAATTGGAAGGACTCCTTTAAAGCAGGGATTGGGCTAAAACTTATCAAATGCTAAGCTTAGAGAAGGAAGCCTTGCTTTCACCCTTGTTATGCTTCTCAACCTGCCCTACTCACCTGTAGTCCTTATGCTTATGTCTGTGTGGGTGAAAAACAAAAAAGCAGATGAGGTGCTGATGGGAGGGTGGAAGGCTACTTAATCGTGCTTCTTCCCCGTTAGGATAAGACCTTTTATGTGTTAGCCACTTGAGTATTAACTTTTAAATAATTCACTGTAATAAAAATGAAGTGTGCCAGGGATCCTGAACCAGAGCCCCTGCTGCCTTTGTCCCTGTATTAGCCTCTATCAGACTCTCATGCTTCAAAGGATGTCATGTTGCCAATTTCATTAATGTCACATCATCCCTCTGGGGTCATGGCCAAACAGTAAATATTGCTGTAGGGTAAAGAACGCTTCTCTGGGGGAAAAAGTAACTCTTCCTGTTGCCAGCTCTAATGACTCTGTTGTGAGTGTTGACACTGTGTGCTTTTCATAGGGCACTCGCTACTGGGAATTTAGAAGTGTGTGTAGTGTCATCTGATACAATGTAGGTTTCAAACCTTTCTGCTTGCAAAGAAAACTCAAAACTATGAGGTGTCTTTATTTTCTAATTTTGAAAATAAATCTTTTTTACATTAACCTTACTTTATTGTAGCTAGATTCAAAGTTACCAATGGAAAGAATTCAAAAAGCTTGAAGTATTTAAAGGCAGTAATGTCAGTATCGTTCTCTGAACAACACTACTGAGTGCTGAGGGAACAATATAAAGTTTGTCTATCATCCACAAGCATGTTTTTGTTATGTTAATAGTAGTTTAATATGTAAAAACATTTTAAGGTCAAATGTGACTTGAAAATTTTTGCCTGCTCAGTTTGGAAACTAAAAAAAAAGAAGAAATAAAGGAGAGAGAAGCAATACTGACAAGCTACATCTGGTTACTGTTAACAGAAGACTATGTAATTACCAGGCTGCAAATAATACTGGGAAAGGTTATAGTTAAAAGATAAAGGTAAAATTTCACTGGAGACTTAACCTACTCATGTTCAATTTTGAAAGAAAAATTGATTTGGAACCTAAATTTTCTCAAAGTAATCGGCTTTACAATAGACTGTAAGGAACTAGAGAACAAAAAAAGGCTTCTGACCCATTCTGATAAGGAAACTGAGACACAGGAATGATTTCTTTAAAACTGCACAGAACTAGTGGCAGAAGTGTGTTACCTTGAGTGTCTGACACCCACGTACAGTCTGCCTTCTGAAAAATATCTTTGATTACATGTTCTCCCTAAGTCCATATCTGGATTTCTGTAAGGAAACCATATTGTAGACTTGGTGCTTTACTGTACCCTTTCCTCAGGTATCCCATACCCTCATGTACAAGTACCCTTCCAGCTGCCTTTCCTGCTCTGACTGTGTCATCTTGTGGTACTCCAAAACTGCTCCACTGATGAGACAGGAGGCAATCTTGTGCAAAAATCTATGAGGATGCCTACGAGGCAATTGAATAGCCTAGCTGCAGATACATAATAGCACTTCAAAAGGTCTTATGGCCAGCTGCCTTTCTGTAGGGATGTCTCGGATAATTCTTGCTTGACTAATAAAGGAAATACCTTTTTAAGTAAAAGGGGAGGCTGACTAAAGAGTCATCAAGAGCAATCATGGGTTTTTTTCTGTTGCAGTTGATGACTGTGATTACTGGTCAAAGGTAACGGATCTAAGGCTGGTTATTGCTTTTACACAGCATACATACTAAAGTTCTGAGTTTGCCAGATACATGCTATTAATGCAGATTACACTGGTGCAGTTTTTAAACCTTTGTTTCTATTGATCAGCATTTGTATTGGATGGCCTTTAATGACAGCTTTCAGTGATCCTGGGTATAGCAGGATATAGAGTGAAATTGGCTTTTTAAATTCAGGAGTTGGAGAAATAGTGAGTGACATACAGCAGGGGAAGTACAACCAACCTGTACAGAGATTTGAAGTTTCTGCAGTCTGAAATTGGAGAGTTCAAAGCTGAAATGTGCAGGAGAAACTTGCTGGACATCAGTGTGATAAGGATTTTGCTCCTGTGTGCAAGTGGCCTTTTGTATTTCTGTGTTTATAGATACATTTGCTCATGTAAATGAGTTGTGTGTGATGTCCCTAGCCGTAGTTTTCCAAACACAGGTTATAACTCAAATAATAGCTTTCTGGTTCCCTGAATCATGACTAATGACTTCCCCAATGACTTGTTACTTGGCATGGAAACTATTAAGAACAGTTAGTTAGACGACTGCATCCTGAGGCCAGCCAGCAGAGTCCCTCAAATGTCTGGACATCCTTTGGCTATCAGTAGATAATTCTGATTGCTTCACACCCTACCCTTTCATGCTGTTCTTGGTCTTGTCCCTTTGGCCTCAGTTACAGAAACCTGCAGTACTGCCTTTGTCAGGAGGTATTTTTGTACTGTTTAGACTACCAGAACTGAGCACACTGGAATTGCTGAAACAGTTGCCTTAAGCAAGTCAACCTCTTACTTGGTACTTACAGTCAATGCTCGACTGTCCCAAAACATTGCTTGTCCTGTCCAAACCCACAGCTAAAATTCTCAGTCCAGGTGCTCTGAATTCCTGGCATCACTTACATAAGCAGCCTCACTTCTGGCTTTGATAAATGCCTTGCATGGCTGTTGCAAACACCTGTTTTGCCCATTGTCCTAATTGCATTACTCCTTTCCAGCCCACTGCTGGCTCTCAGTCCTTGGCCAGCCTACTCTCCCACACTGTCAAAACCCTGCAGATGTGCCACTGCCCTAGCTGTGATCTTTTGGAAATGCAGCGAGGTTGACTCCTATTTCTTGAACCTGAGACTGTGGTTTCTTTCTCTTAATTTTGTGACAACCCTTAAAACTTTATCCAGGACTGCCACATGCTTGGCAGGTTTTCCCTGGAAAGGCAAAATTGTTCTGCTTGCTTCTTTCAACCATGTCTCTGCTATGATGTTTGCAAGAAACCCCAATACTGCTGCTTACCATGCTGTGTTGTTTCTGGGATCATCCTGATCTGTCTAGTTCTCTGCCTTGGCATCACAAGCATCCCCAGCAAGCCTACACACTGTGGTTTTGTTCTGATGTGTATGTCATCCGGGGTGCTGGTATCTGGCTGAAATTTGTCTCCTGTGTGTACAGTAATACAACTAGTGAGAGGAGAAGGGAGTCGTGCTCCTTACAGCTTCTGCAGAAGTTCTCAGTGCTGCTCTTCATTTGACTAAGCTTTTTTCCTTTTGCACCTCCTCTCTCTTATTTTATAGATCCCTCTCAGAACAGTCTCTTCCCTCTTCAAGCTGTGCACCTTATGCATGCTGCTGCTTCTCTTCCTCATGCCCTGCATTTCCTTCCTTCCTGACTCTGACCTTCTTGGTACTGATCAGGCACGTGATGATGGTTATGTTCTTCTGCCAACTGGCTGGCTGGCCTAGAGGCATTTGTAGAGAGATGCTTGAACCTACATAAACCCATGTATCTGGTTTTCCTTTTGGTTTTCTGCTTTTTTCCCATTTTTCTTAAAATCATGATGAGTCTAGACCCTGCTGCCTAAACTGTTCCCAGTTCCAGGCAATTTTTTTTGATTGCTTAGAAGGCACTATGTTTGGTTTTTGGACCAAGAAATGCAGCAAGGTTGACCTCATAAGCTCAGGCAATAAATACAAGAAAATGTCTCCTAATTAATTAGCTTATTAACCATGATTAAATAGCCATATGGTTCATCTTGCTTAAATTAATTTGCTTTCCTCCCTTACTTCTATCTTTTGGATCAGGAGTTCCTCTCCCATAAGAATTCCTGTTCCCTTTGTGTTCATTCCTTCTGTGTTTTCCTGTCCGTATGACTCTTGTTTATATTGATAGCAGCAGAGAGGACATGTACAGAGCTTTTTACTTATAGAAAACAGTATGACAACAGTTACTAATTCTTCTGCACAATAAAGAAGAGTATGTATCTGTATATTGTTTAACTGGTGGCAAAAGAGATGAAGCTCACCTGACGCAGGGGTGGAGATAGGAATAAAGGTCAAGAGCTGTTGGACTTAAGATACATGTTTAGTATGTTAAACAGTACTTAGCAATAGAAAGGTTTGAAATAAGATGAAGATTCCTGAATCACTGCTAGATGTTGATATTCATACTGTCGCTGCAGTGGAGGCAGAATGTGACAGTGATTAAGGAGGAGGTGGAAAGACTCACCATAAGTGCTGAGTGACACTGCATAAGGGAAGGAAAGAGAGGAAGCTTTTTGGTTTTATATTTTTGAGGTGGGCAAATTTAGTAGTAGAGGCTGGGTAAGAAACCATGCCACCCTTCCTTTTAAGCCTTTAAAAGGTTTCGATCTATGGCTGCTGGGAGGGACAGGACTGAGAGTTTTACTTTTTGGACTCTTTTAACAAATTCCTTGTATTATGCCATTGCCCTTGGCAACTTGTGAAGTAAGGGGAAGGGTCATATATTCCTGTGAGGGGGGAAAGCAAATTTCACTGTTAGAAGCCTGGTTTAAAAATATAATACTTGGGAGACTATGCTGGCATCCTGGAAACTGACCCTTCATGTTTATCCACTAAATAAGTATGTTCGGACAAAAGTGGTTTAAATGCCTTAATTCTGCCACTCTGCTGATGAACCTCTGCCTAGACTGGGAGTGAATGGGATGACCTGTAAATGTACTTACCACGGCTAAACTTTTTCATTTGAATTTTGGAGCAGGTTTTGTGTTTCTGTTCTTGTAATATGAATAACTTAAGGGGAGTGGCTTTCAACCTCTTTTGACTTGTAAACTTCAGCTGTTTTTCAGTGGTTTTGCAGACCCTGTCAGAAATCTCACATATCCACATTGCTGTATAGCATGTTTTAATTATTTTTTTCCCGAGTTCATGGATGCCTTTAAACTGGTCTGTCTTTCTTGGAGGAGGAGGAGAAGGTGCAAACCGCAGTTTGAAAAGCTGTGCATTAGGATGCTTGTTCTGGAAGTGACAGTTTATTTCCAAACGACTCAAAAATATCATTGGGATTATTTAATGTTTTGGGGTTTTGAGTTTGCTTGTTTTTTTTTTTAAATCAGTGAAACTAACCCTTTTCCCTATTCAAAAACATGAGTCTTCCCCCCGAACAAAATTAGAGAACTCGGCTTGAATTTATTTAAAATTTTACATTAGTTTTCCTTATGAGGCCAAGTTTTCATAATTTTTTTTTTCCTCTGCAATCACAAAGCCTGTAAAAGTGATATAGTGGAGTCATATAATGACTTGATTCTAAGAGCTAAAATTTCAGAATAACAATCATTAGAGCACTGCCAACACCGTTTTGAGCAGCCAGCGCTGTGCTGGCTTGAATCAGATTTCAATCAATAAACCAGAGGTGAAGGGCCCTGCTGCTCATCCTGTTTGAGAACTCCCTTTTCTTTATTTACCATTCAATGTAGCAGCTAGGATTTCTTCAAAATACATGAAGGTTAAGTGTCAAAACAACAGGCAAGTCTATTCTGCACCGTATAGCTGAAACTGTGGTTTTGTGAACAAATTCTTAAGTGTATGTTGCCACTGAAATAGCATTGATTTGGGTTTGGACTTGAATGGTCAGCAAAGAGCTTTTCAACCCTTTACTGCCCATGAGAAGCCTGGCAAACAAATCTGGCAAAGCTTAGCTATACTTAATTTTGACAGGAGTGTTTTTCCTGTGGTCACTTAGTCAGACACAGAACTTTCAATGACTAAGTGAGCCAGTAAAATTTCTGATAGTGTACCAGGATGTGTAGCTAATTATCAGTAGACACAAATGATTTTCTTTTAAATGTGATTATCTGTAGTTTAACCTGTCCTATCAGTTGTGATGGATCTGCCATTAATTTCTACCTTTTTCCCCCCTTTTTTTGCCAACGTTAAGTGGCTAAAAGCCAAGGTAAGAAGTGTTATTTCTCCTTTGACCCACAGCGCCTCATGTGACTGATAGTAGAGGCTGCAGAGCCATTAAAACTGAAAACTAGTGCTCTCTTATGCTCTCCTCTGCTTTCCATAGGATATTTAGATTAAACATGCTATACTTGATTTTTTTTTTTACAGCGTTTAGTGTGTGTCAATGTATCTGCGATACATTGACATCTGCATTTATACATAGATACATTAATTTCTCTAACACATGTAGTGCTTTGCTCTGAATTCAGTAGATGCCTTGATTCCCTTCACTTACATTTTTTGCAGGAGACTTCCCAGACAACCTGAATGACTCTGTTAGTCAAATAGCAGGGGAAATTGAGAAATTCTGGGCCCATGCTGACTGTATTGTGCTGTCAGTGTTAAAGTTTGATTTAAATTATTATTGCCCTAATGGAGATGAACACAAATGTGGCTTCCCGTTAAAGAAAAGAGGATGTAAGAGATTTGTACATGACTGTCAATTGCCTACCTTTCTGATGTCTGTTGTAAATTAATAGCAAAAATAACATTAAGCTTGTATTTAGACTCTTTGTATTTACTGGTGTCTGTCTTGCATGTAGCTGAAAACTTGCTGTTTGACAGCTGTCTGGGAATTCTCACTTCATATTCTTACACTTAAAAAAAAAAACCCAAAACCTGTCAATAATAGAGCTGCTCTGTTATAAAAATAAAATCATGTTTTCCCTTATTTCAGCATGGAAATAACCAGCCTGCAAGAACTGGCACCTTGTCAAGAACAAATCCGCCTACACAAAAACCACCAAGTCCTCCCATGTCAGGCCGGGGAACTCTGGGGTAAGAATGAAGACTGCTTGCTCCTGCCTGTGTAATAGAAAGTTTTAATTGTGCTGGTGTTGGTGTTTCTTAAATACATGGATAGATGGCAATTGTGATTGCGTTTAGCAAAAACCACAATTACCTTTTCTGTATAAACCCTTTCAGCTGCACTGACTCTTATTTTCATGATGACCTTTTGAAAGAATGTTTTTTCATGGGGGATCGATTTATTATAGATATGGGTAAATGAGGCAGCTATTGTTACTCCTGATTTTTGGGGAGAAATCCTTAGTGACACAAAAGAATATCGATAAAGTTTTAACTTCACTGTGGGAAAGACTTCATTGTTAAAGTTTTTGTCTGCTCATTTCTCAATATTATAAGAGGTAAGAAATGGCTGGTGGTGCCATATTTGTGCATTATCTAAGCAAAATTCCTGGCATTGTGAACACATTGGCAACATTGGTTCTCTCAGGCTTATGCATTTTTATTTTTATGCTTAAATGAGGAAGGATTTTGCTATTCCTGAGTCCCACTGTGACCGGAGTTCCCTGCCGTAGCATCTGTTTTGCTGCTGTGGACCTGTGGGGAGTGAAATCTGCTTATCTTGATGTGCCAGCAAGTAGTTGTTGCTAGGAACCAAAACATTAATACTTGAGAAGCTCAGAGCACGTGCCATATGGTTTTTGTCTGTGCAGTATCTTCCAAAAGACGTCCTAAACAAGACCTACCTCTTTGTCACTCTCAGTCTTTCCTTTATGCTATGGGGGACTGAGGCACTGAGCTGGCTGCCATAGTTGTGTTGGCTTCAGGTGTGTTGTCTGGGAGAGGTGGGTGGGTAGCTGGAAAAATGATGAATAATGAGACAGAACAGGATGGGGATCAGGAGCAATGGTCAAGGAAAATCAAAGAGCAGCAACTCCTTTTGTTGAAGACCGATTTTTTTTTAATCCCGATTTGATGCTTTGCTGCTTCATGATGGCAGTGTTTGTTGTGTATTCTGCAGAGAAATTACCCTAGAGGTTTCCTCAGCATGTTTTGTGAAAATTCCCATTGCTCAAGGGCATGCAATCAGTATTCCAATTGTCTGTCTTATCCCAGCTGAGAGAGAGTTGTTTATCAGCCCTGGGAAGCTGGGCGGTGCTTTCACATCCTCCTGGATGTTTACTAGTGAAACAGCAGCATTTTTTAGTAAAACAGCAGCATTGGTTTACTGGTGAGCTGCCTCTCTCTAATGCTGCCCCCTGAACAAGCCAGAGCTGTTTGGTTGCCTTAGCTGATGCCTGATAATGATTAATCAGCTGAATGTCATTTCCAGATGAGCTTGACAAGAGGCAGCAGTTGGCTGAGGGGGAGGAATAATGTGGGTTCGTAACAGATTTCTATCTGCCCTTCTTGTTCAGGAAGTACAGTTCTTGTCTTGAGCAGCCGTGTTCTGCCAAAGCATGAAATACAGGCATGACTGTTTCCCTAATATACGCAGAAAAAATTGCTAGAAACCGCAAGGGTTGCTTCTCTTCTCCCTTTAATCCAGAAGACAGAGATAAGCGTGTAAAATCAGAATGAGCTTGGTGTGTAACACAGGCCTTTGAGTACATACTGCCTATTGTGCAGCTTGTCCCTCCAAGGCAGGACTGTGTAAAGGAATATGGTGGGGAGGGAGTCCTGCACAGAAATCGCTTGGGCTGAAAAGGGAAGGGGACTGCAGGAAGCAGAGGTCTCTTCACCAGAGCAGGGAGACACTGTGGAAAACCTTGGATGCTCAGGTTGGAAGTAGCACAGGAGAACGAGTGCTGGAGCTGGGTGGAGGGAGTAGTTGCAGTTGTGTCTTGAGGGTCCCGGGGCAGAGCAAGGCCTTGGACTCCCTGTAGCTCTCCCTGGTGGCAACGGGCGTCAGCGCTGCAGTGAAGCACTGGGGGACAGTGAGGTGGGGAGC